TTTAATCAGAAATTTTATGTACAGATTTTCTATTTACTCACGTCTAGATATTTACAGTCAGTAAAAATTATTAAAAAATAGATAATTATAAAATAAAAAAAAAACAATGCTCAAGGACGTCTAAAGTTTTATTAATGATAATTGCATTCTTTACATTCTTCTTGTAAATATTATTATTACCATCAAAAGGTGTAGGTGTGCGTGTGCAAAGTATGGCGTCAAGCACCTCGAATGATGATGGTAATAGTTTAGATTTTGCAGATATTAATTCAGATGGTTCTGACTGGACTGAACAATCTGAATATGATAAAAGTGACGAAAATGATTTTTCCTGTGATTACAGACGCAACGTAAACTTTGTGTCCAAACTAATTAGTAGACAGGTTAGTTTTGTACACTTAACCTAACATTGTGTATATTTAAAAACAAACGTTCTTTATAATCAAAAATCTTTTTCCTAACGCTGAGGAATTTAACGACTAAATACCTCAGCAATTTTTATCCACTTTTCAATGATCTATTTTTCTCAGATACATGGAAGGTTTACAAATCATCCTCGAAGCAAGACTGAACCCTTTTTTAGAGATGTATATTGCAATTGTCGATTTAAATTAGATCATATTATTCCCAAGGGAGTACTGTGAGTATTTGTTATAGTCGTGCTATTTTAATTAATAAGAAAGCTTCTAGGAACCATATTTTTATGGGATTCTCCCTGTGTGGAAAATTCTTCTTTAGTTATTCTGGAACACCAAGTGACAGTGAAACAACGGGCCCTATGAATTTATTTCCAACTGTAGAATATGAAGTATTTATTTGGAGCTTTGTACCTGGACAGAAATTGAGGTTGATTTCCAAACATCGAATCTTTAAGCTTTTCAAAAGTGTAGGAGAATTAAGGAAAGTTAGTTTTATGCAATTTCCTTCGGATCCATGTAAATTAATTTGCTATGGAACAGGGTAAGATGATTTAGTTGTTTGGATACATTATTTATGCTTTTTAATTAATATTTTGATGTTGCAATTTATACTTAATTTATTTAATTAATATACATGGGACTAAATGGTAATATCATTAATGTTTCTTACAGGTCTCAAACACCAGAAATGGCGTTCCTTACCATTTTAACTTTACCATTCCCAAAAAATTGTAGAAACTGCAAAGAGAATTTGTCCTTAGGCAGAGGTATTTATGTTTGTTGAGTTTTATGGTATTAAACAAAAAAATCCATCTTTAATGTATTTTAGACTGTCCTTCCCATGTGACAGAAGGCTGGTGCTTGAAGCATGGTTTTATCCTACACTACATGTTTTCTTTGGCTCATCCAAGCCCTCCTTTTGATCCACACATTTCCCTGGCTTATCCTGACCACATAGTTATAAACACAGGCCATTATGTCCATATTTTAAACGTCTCGACATATAAACCCCCGCAACGTACAGTAATGTCTTTTAATAACGAGAAATTCGAAGAAAACAAGATGACTCCACATACAAACCTGTCTAGTAGTTTTCCGGATACACTCAGCGATCTGTCGGAGTCGCCGAGCGAACTATTTTCTAATCATAGCATTGTGGATATGATTTTGGAAGATTTTAGCGAATACGACTTAGAAGGTAACGACTGCAATAAACCATTTCATGAACTAAATATTAGTTGCGAACCTTTAAACGTGACAGGCAAAAGTTATCATAACGCGCTTATTCAAAATATCGTCGATCCAAGACTGAAATTGTTACAGAATAGTAGTAAAGATTATCCTTTTTCGATGCCACAAACGTCGGGTATTCAAAAGTCTACGGAGAAATCGAAAATTGACAAAAAAATCGCAGAAAAGGCGTACGAATTTATCGAGGAAAACGAAAAGTTTGAGAAAATCAGTTTATTTCGTAAGAAACGTTTAGCTGATAAAAAATATGAATTTTCGGAAGACAATAGCGAAAACATTGTGCCATTTTATTCGTTAAGAAGGGAACGGAGGTATATTTATCGGTCGCAGGGTGGTCGCAGTATTCGGTCTCCCGACTTTACTAGTAATGTTTTTTTAAGTCCTCGTTCGTCAGGTGGTCTTCGGTCCCCCATGCAGAGCCCTAATTCGCGTAGTGGACAATTTTCGCCAGGAGGTACTAGGAACCTTTACTGTCCAATTATCCGTAATTCGCCCCACCACTCTAAATCTCCTATTAGTCCTAAAGATTCCGCTCGAAAGTTTAACGTTTACTCACCCAGCCTAGACAGCGACTGCTCTGATTTCGATTCGAAACTTATACTCAGGCCTGGAAATAATACTCTTTACTTGCATTCAGATTCATTAAATAAGTCTCACACTGGACTGCTTATCATCGACTCAAAGACTAATGCCGATAAACCAAGATGGATTAAAAAGGTTGTGAGAAGGTATAGCAGCGTGGATTTTGAAAACAGTTCCCTCGTTTCGGGACAAAGCAGAGGTGAATAATTTTCAAAGTATAAAATGTTAATTAATTAAACAGTCTATCCAAATAGAGAGATTGTAGTTTGGTTTTCAAAATTTTACATTTAAATTTAAATTACTTCTTAAAAACAGAAAAATATTAAAAGAAGCATAACTCCACTTTACTATTGCTGTATTGTTAGTTGTATAGTCGTTATGGTTATTACTTTTCAATTAGTTTAACTGTAGTAGTTATAACAAAAAGGTGTTTATCAAGATTCAGAATCATTTCTATATTCCCCAAAAAAGTTTCTATCGTTTTTTTTATATATTATCTTTCAACTGTTTTTTTTTTAAGATGATTACAATATTCCTATCGAGATACCTCTTCTAGTTCAGACATTAACTGAACAACACTTGGACGTTGTACCTGAATTTAAAAGTGATCAAATAACCGAAACTCAGTTGATCGTCACGCAAAGGACATTCGATTGTGAACAATTTGTTCAAGGGCGAGCGCAAAAACTTTGTATTGACGCCCAACTTGAATTTTCGCATTGTGAAGACTACGACGTGAGAATTGTGCACGTAAGTGTTCCCAGTAATGTTAACTAAAAAACGTTTGAAAAATAATACATATTTGCAACAAAAAATGTATCTTCTGCAGTGATTTTCAAAACATAATTTCTTTAATCATTTTTTAAAATAAATTCTCTTCTCCTTTATATCCTTTGTTATTGATGTTTTGGTTTTTAGATATGCCCTCTAAACGGTCATATAGTTTGTAAAGCACTGATAAAAATAGGAGCAATACAAACGTCGGAAAGCTGCGGAAAACCTCGCTTGTACTTATCGAATTGCCTTTTCTCATGGAACATCTCATCTGACTCTTTCGATATAATTGAGTCAGTGGAACACTCGAAACTTCAACCATCTACAAAGAAAATCAACTTGCCAGAACTCGTGATTCCTAACATAGTTCATAAAAAGGTGCACATAATGGACCACTTGAATACATCCAAATGCAGTCTCAGGGATTACAATAATTGTTTTGAAATATGCATGGACAATAAGTTCTTCTGTAAGTATTTTATAATTGTCTTCTATATACAGAAAGACCAATATTTGGATTCTGCTTGAAAACGTTTTTCTCTTCTGAAAAAAATTTTTATTTATTTTAACAATTTAGCAGTTTATTTACAATTAATAAGATTAAAATATGATTTTAACAGAAATATAGTATTAATCAGTTGTCTGTTTAGGTTTTTATTATTTTTGCTAAAAATAAACAGAATTTAATCAGCTGGTTAATAAAGTTCTTATCAAAATAGCTCCAAATCTGAATCCCTTAAACTGCTTTGGTCCTTAAAACCCTAGTCAAACTAAAGTATCAAAGAACCTCGAATTATAATTACTTTGAAAAGTAATTAGGTTCAGCTCCCTAAGCACTTGTGAAAAGAATATTTTACATTTGGAGGTTTCAGTATTAAAGTCCTTTTAATGTTTTTAATGGTGTTTAGGTTTTTATTACTCATTTTGTTTTTTAGTTTTTTTGTAAAAGTAATCTGTGTTTATAGGAAAGAAATGAAAATTTAAGTGGCTCTTGTAGTTTTTAGTTGTTTAATTGAAAAAAGTAACAATAAACTATCAAAAGAACTCTAAACCCATACAACTTTTATAAGGTAATTCATTTATGAAACCCTAAGTACGTGAAGTACAGTATTTTTGTCGTAAGCCCTAAAAGGACACGAAGCACATGTTCAAGCACAAAACATTCAAGCTTTGTCCCGCTCTATTTGAAAATCTGTTTGGTTGGTTGCATACAGCTATTGTAAAAATTACATTAAAAACCCAATACCTACTTCCTTTTTAAGTATTTAAGTAAAACATGTACGTTTGGTTGTCTACGGCGTAATAGGTCTCGAAGCACATTTTAAAGTATAAAGCGTACATTTGATCTATTCTGCTTGATTGGTTGCATACAGCTACTGTAAAAATTACATTAAAAACTCGATCAACACCTACTTTGTTATTAAATATTTTATTAATAACATGTACGTTGGGTTANTACTAAGAAAAGTTTTGAATTATATTTGAATTTGAAATTCCTTAAAAAATTGCGGGGTTTTTTAAAATTGTTTGGTTTTAAAGCGACCTCTTATGTTGGATGTTATTACACACGATAATCATTATCTATGATCTTAACCTAACAACAATAACAGTGTTTTGTTTTCGTACAGTGTTATTATATTAGTGTTTGTTAATGTTAATTAGCTAAATATCATAAGTTAAAAGTGTACCATAAGTTATTAAAAGGAGCTTTAGATTCACCAAAAGTTTAGTGTTTCGGTAAAGATAAGATTTGTACATTCTGCATGTTAAAACAATGGATCCGTTTCAAGCTAAAAAGGCAAAAGCAGAATCAGGCAAGTCGTTTTATTACGTTTTAATAAATTTTATTAAAGATGTTTGGATAAGCAAAATTTATTTGTTTTACATTTAATTTTTATTGAAGTTATTTATAAGGTTATGTTTGGTTGGTTCCTAACCAATGGGAGCTTTCATTTAAGTGATACGTTTCACCTTCATAACCTGTGTTTACTGTTCGTAGAAATAAAAACATTTCAATATACCGATAAATTAAAAAAAGGCGTCTCATTTATGTTAAATAGTTTACGAACTTTATATTTTTCAAGGCAAGTTGCTAGTTTATTTTATTGTAAAAGTTCGTTTAGGGATCGGTATTATATATTTAGTTTACCTTCATTTATTTATTATTTGCTTCACAACCTACATAATGCTACAACTTGATATGTTATAAAATGTGTATTTTGCTTCTTTCAAATAAATAAGATAAGTAACATATATGGAATAATAAAATAGTTTATAACCTGTTTGTTCAGTGGTGAAACTTAACCTCAACCTAGAAGAACGTGTGTTTTAAAACTTTATTTAAGTTACAATGTTACGCAGACAAGCGCGTTTACGACGAGAATATCTTTACCGAAAAACTGTTGAAGACAGGCAAAAAAGTATACAAGAGAAAAAAGGTCGAATTAAAAAAAGTTTGGAAGAAAACATTCCAATTCATGGAGACTTACAAAAAAAAGCCTTGCATTATTCAAAAAAACTCGAATGGGAAGATGAAGGACCCGAAGCTGCTGCAGTGCTCGGAGGTGAAAGTGGAGGAGCACTTGCGGACTCTCAAGATGATGAGTATAGGTATGCAGGAGTTGAAGATCCTAAAATAGTGATAACCACATCTAGAGATCCTAGTTCAAGACTAAAAATGTTTATAAAAGAACTAAGACTTATATTTCCAAATGCTCAACGTATGAACAGGGGTAACTATGAAATGAAACAGCTTATTCATGCCTGTCGTGCAAATGATGTTACTGATTTTATAATTGTGCACGAGCATAGAGGTGAGCCAAATGGTCTTATTGTTTGCCATTTGCCTTATGGTCCCACAGCCTATTTCACAATGACAGATGTAGTTATGAGACATGATATACCAGATATTGGTACAATGTCAGAACAGTATCCACACTTAATTTTTCATAACTTTAAAACTAAATTGGGTCAGAGAGTTATGAATATATTGAAATACTTATATCCTGTTCCAAAAGAGGACTCAAAAAGAGTTATTACTTTTGCAAATCATGATGACTATATTAGTTTTAGACATCACACCTATAAAAAGGTTGATAAAAAGGTAAGTTAATTAAAAGTTTTACAATATTTAATATAAGTTGCAGAGTAACCATGGCTGATCTGCTCCTCAGTTATGTTATATTCTTGTGTATCATTAAGTATTCAGTCAGTTGTAATAGGAAACCATAATTTATTGCTTGTATTTACAGATTGAATTAAGTGAGGTAGGACCACGGTTTCAGTTGAAATTGTATGAAATTAAACTTGGAACACTGGACAATATTGAAGCCGCAAATACAGAATGGGCATTTAGGCCATATATGAACACTACTTACAAACGAAGATTTCTTAGTGAAGAAGATGGATGGAAACCAGAAATATGATTTTTATACTCAAATACTTATCTTTAATTTTAACATATCTTTTTAAATATAGAATTAAAACAAACAAGTTAATTTTTCTTCAAAAAATGCTGTTAATAATAATAACTTCTATAAACATTTTACAGGTGTTTTACAATTTATTAGTATTTGTTTAAACTTCACAAGTTTCAAATGAATTCATATTCATTTAATATTACTTTATTAGGC